AATTTTCTACTTACTGTACTACTGCTTATGCTATTGCTTAAATTACTGTTAACTGCTCAGGACTAATTTTATTATAATATAACTTAAAACTATTTACGAGTGTACGAGCGTGTTTTTATTTCACGCTGGGTTAGATTTTTAATCAAACCTCGTTTGGTCAGGTCCGGGTTAGGTGTTAGACGAGTTGCAACCAAAGTAGCATTTGAGTGAGCATGTCGGGTTTCCGCCTTTACTATCATCTTAGCCTGTGTTCGCCATTAGCAGCACTGGATCTGATGGACTTTCAGTGCATGGCTTTCGCTTTCAAAAGGAGCTGACAGCCACTAATTTCGCTTTCAATTGCAAAATTGCTTTAGTTATTAGGGCTCAAAACAATTCCTTGGCAGGAAGGATGCTGCCCTTCTGTGGAAATATTTTTCCTAAGGGTTTTGGCATCCGTAGTGCGTTCTAGTCATCGAGAGTTACTCGGCCCAATGAACTGTTCTCTCGCACAATTGGTGTCGGGCCTTACTCCGGGAGCTCGAGGCAAAGAACTTTGGGTGGCTGCTATGACCACGGCCGCGACTCTTTACCCACAGTGGTGGCACCTACCGATTGCCAGTCGATAGGGAGTAATTTATTATCTACCCGAATTAAATTCGGATTGCCGGGACCATTGGTCCTCTGCAACTAGCTCCCGGAGCGGTCTCCCGTCCTCTAAGAGGGTGCGCGGTACCACAATCCTAAGAGATTTCCCCTCAAGTGACTCCCGGATTTTGGCTTTTCTGGGCTCGAGTTGAGCTCTTGGGGTGTGGTAGACTCCGCGTTGAATGTTTGGGCGTTTACAGGCCGCACCTTCCACGTATTGTCATGGTCCGTGTTGTTTGTTTTGTTCGGCCAGTTGGCCTATTACCCTGGGGGCAAGCGTTGTGTGTTTTGCCTACTGTTTCTTTACAGAAACAGCGTTTTCAGCCCCACCACGTGAAGGTACACACATCCGCACATGTGATTGCAAGTCTTCGTTCAAATACACATTGCATTCACTTCGGGTCGACTAGCATTAGTTGCTTGTCGAGGGCAATTGGTGACGCATTTTGTACTTCAGCATTTGTATATGCCCGTACACAAAAGAGAGAAGTTTCGACGTCCTCTCCTAAAACAACGAGTTGTTTGTTTGAGGAGTCTTCGTTCTCTGCTAAGGAAGACAATTACTGTCCGCCGCTTTGACAAAAGATTTTTGCACAAAGTGACCTGGCCAGCCTCACGGCTGGCCATATGGTGCACTATGTGCATCATCCATGTTTTTGCTAAGCGGATTATAATCGAGCTTCCTGAGAGCGTCGTGATTGCAACCGCCAGCCGACATCGACAATGAGGACTTTTTGGAATCGGTAGGAGTGGCGTGTAGGTCATGAGATTGCTGTTTGTGTTCGTGCTCGTACAGAGTTGCCGTCCGCTGGGCAAAAATTATACCGAGGCGATGCGTTGAGCGAGGTATCCTCGAACCGCGTACAGTCAAGGGTCAGTAGTCTGGAGGCGATTTCATCCTGAAGGAGCTAGCCGTCATTCCTCTCGAGTACGACGCAGAACTACTAGTGCGATTTTTCGAGCTGCCCTTTTCCCGAAAAAGACTGACATAAAAATATAGGAAGGAGAACTCTTGGCGTGAACGTCCTCTTCACGGCATCTCGAGGAATTGGGGTAACTTGCCTTACAACGTAATTGGTGAAATAATTAACGGAACTTTGGGAAAAGCGAAAAAAGTGTTTGTCTCTGGAAGCGCAAACAAGAAGTGGCTAGAGAGATTCAGATTGCTTGTTCGTAACATTGACGATCTTGGCTACGGAACGGCAAAAGAAGCTAAATCGGTCACAGTGTGTTCATATCACAACAGATCATTCAAACCATAGTGTGCACTACACAACGCCAAGTTGATAAAATAATTCCATCTTTATAACGTGTATATGAACTGGCAGCCAATCAATGAATAAAGTAGGACAAAACCAGAGTAATGGATATACAAAACTCAACAACAAAGACGAAGAAAGAAGAAGAAAATAAAGGGAAGATAAAAGTACTTGGAAGAAGTATTCTGAAAAATACTCGTCCAATACTAATTTTTACCCCAAAAATGCTGGCTATAAGAAAATCTAAAATTGCTAGATAAAAAAAAATTTTTTTTTGGAGGATCAGAGAGATTGGTTATTGGTTGAATCTGACGGGTAGGGAGCGTGGTTCGGGCGCCTATAACTTAACCCTTTTCCTCCCAAATAATGCAAATTTTTTCTTAACTTTCATCCTCATATCTTTTAATGAAAAAATCGTATAAAAAATTTATCAAGCATCACATCTTGTAGATTTTGACCTCCTCTTTCGAATGCCGTTGACAAAATTTACCTAAATTGTAAGCCGGAAACGTTATAGGCCGGTTTTCCGGAAAATTCACAAAATTTTTGCGTTTTTTTTTCTAAAAAAAGTATATTTTGAAATGGAAAAAGTTTGCACACACCATTGGAAACACTGTTATCGGTGTTATAGATGTCTTTTCCTTCAAATGCCGTTGGATTTTTTCCGAAATTCAAAATAGCGAACACAAAATGGCGTTCGAAAGGAAAAATTTTTTTTTTAAACTTGACGAATTTTTTTCTCCAAAACTATCAAGTTTAGTGAAAAATTTCTAAGAACAAAAATGTCTTAAAATTAGTCAAGAAATACTCTCAAATTTTTCCAGATTTTTTTACAGCGAATTTGGAAATTTCGATTTTCCGATTTTCCGCGAATTCGAAAATTAACTCTCTCGCCTAAAGTCCTATCAATTCAAGTCCGAAAATATCGTAATTCCTCCTTTTAGCGCTATCCAGGAACAACGACGTGGACTTAGAAGGAATCTGTTCCCTTTGGGGTGCTTTTTTATAGTGAGTTCCCTTTGCCTCTCACTTCGGGGTGCTTTTTAATAGTGAGTTCCTCTTGCCTTTCACGTAAATAAATTTACAACAGATGTTCAATTTGTTCTCCATTCGCTTCTTGACAGTAACCGATCCTATTGTAGAATGATTGAGTTCCATTTTGGATCATCTGCCGTGGAATGGTATTAATTTCTTAAACTATTCTACGTCTTAATTCTTCAAGATTTTGTGGATTACTTCTGTATACCTGATCTTTTAAATACCCCCACAAAAAATAATTCAAAGGGCTTAAATCTGGACATCTTGGAGCCCACTCTACTGTACCTCTTCTACCTATCCATCTATCAAAAAATGTTTCATTGAGGTATTGTCTGACATTAACACAGTAATGAGCTGGAGCACCATCTTGCTGAAACCATGTATGTTAAAAATCATCACCTCTTAAGGCCTGGATAGCTGGAACAATTTGATTTCGCAAAAGTGGTTCATAACTTACAGCTACTTGAAACTACATGTCAATTAAATGGCAAAGTCAATCGCCATAACCTTAGATATTGGTACGACAAAATCCTCATTGGATGAGAGAAAGTCACATTCAATATCCACAAAAATTAAAAGTGTGGGCAAAAAATGGTAGGCGATACAATAATAGGTTCCTTTTTTATCACAGGAAATTTGAACGCTGTAACTTTTGTGAAATCAGGTTGTTTCAGCTATCCAGGCGTTAAGATGTGATGATTTTGAAAATACGTGGTTCCAAGGAGGATTAGGGGTCAAGCTATCTTTGAATCATTCCCACACGTAAAATTTATTGCTCTTTTTAATTCCAGTATAAAAAATAGGGGTTCTCATATGAAAAAATGAGGTTAACCTTGAAATAACCTTGAAAATGAGATTCAAGGTCAAATCAGAGTTCACCGTTGGGTTCCTCGTTGAAAGTTACATAGGGTATGACCTTTGTTTCATGACTCATGCGGTTTTCCGAATTTTCCGGGGTTTCCATACTTATTCCTCACCCTGTATATATAATTTATTTATTAAATAAATGTTAACACTAATTTTATAAATAGGAACGAGATTTCTCTCAAAGGCATATCAAATAGCTGATACAGCCTAAAACACTAGCTGTTTCAGTGCGGAAACAGCATTCTCATTTATTTCTAATAATAAATAAATTTTGGTCCTTTTTATTACATTTTTAGGATCTGGGCGTCTTCACGAACCATAATACCGTTTTCTTCGTAAATAACTGCATTTGGCTTCGGAAAAACCCTGTGGTGGTTTAAAAACACGGATTGCTTTAGTTATAATAATTAATAAGTTTTCGTCTTTTTTTGCATTTTTAAGATAGAGGCGTCTTGACTAACAATAATAAATTTTTTTTTATAAATAACTGCATCCGTTTTCGCGAAAACCCTGTGGAGGTTCTAAAACACGGATTGCGTCATCGGGAGCTCTCAAGTATTTTAGAACCGCTATAGCTTATCTACTATTGAGTATAAAAAAATCTATTTTTCAATGTCTGAAACAATATTTGTAGTACTTTGCTTTTGACTTTAATTTTATAGAAGTGCCAAATTTACATGGCATAGCTACTTGATTCAAAAGTGTCGCTGCACGCTATATCATTTAAAATCACGTATCGCAACTATATACATGTACCATGTATACTACACGTGTATGTACTCAAGTGCTTTCGTTATTTGAATAGTATTAATTTTATTTAGAAGCTGATTCGTATTTACACAATTTGCAAAACAACTGTTTGTACAACAGAATATGCAGTTTTAGCACTTGACTGTAATTATCGCTATACTCACATAACAAATAATTACTGGTTTACATAAACATTACATTTCGTTTCATAACATTACAATACAAAGTCAAGTGCAAAAATTAACGCTTGATAAAATATTTAGAAAAAATAGTCTACTGTAGAGTCAAGTGGATTTATAATATAATAGCAGCCGAAAGCTAATAGTCACTCTGCTTTCAGCTTATCATTCTTCTTGTAATCAGTACCAGAAATCTTTTTATAAATGAATGACTGAGCAAGGGGTTTGTCCTTGATAACCAGTTTCAATAAATATGCTTGCTATACTAGACAATGTTCAATTAGTTGCATTGACTCGGAGAAAATACAGTAGAAATTTTAAGAATTCAAAATGGATATTAAAAATAAGGTTGCTATTGTAACTGGTGGAACTGGTGGAATTGGATTTGCTACGGTTCAAGCATTGCTGAAAAATGGAGTCAAAGTAAATAAAAATTTTTAATGAATCTAAACTTGAATTATTTTATAAAATTGAGTTTGACCTACTACCATGTTTTATTAAATAAGTATTTTACGAATAAGAACGGATGATTTACATTTACCAGTATTTTTTATATTTTAGCATGTTGCCATATTTGATGTCGAAGCTACCAGAAATCGTGCTGCATCTCAATTACAAAAAATTGCTGTAGAGTTTGGAAAAGATCGAGCATCGTATGTAGTTTGTGATGTGACAAATCCAAAGCAGATAGAAGGTACTTTTATTTTTTCATGTACAATGATCGCTTTTATTTTTTTATGTTATTCGTCTATCACTTAAATTTTAGATTCCTATAACGAAGTAGTTAAATCGCAAAAAGGAGTTGATCTACTAATCAACAATGCAGGAATATTAAGTGACACTCATGCAAATTTGATGATCGACATTAATTTGGTGAGTTTTTATGTTGTGGAATATTAGTGAATGTATGCTAGTCAGCATTAAAGCGGATTCAAAAATAACATAAGGGAACATATTAATTATATAAAAACTATGTCTTGTTAATAAATCAAATATTTGCCTTATATTCCAACTACCAAATGCAATAAATCTTATCTTCGAAGTATATACGTACACCTCTGATAAATATACTATTACATCTTTATTGTGCATGTTTAAAGCGTATAAATCTAATCATTCAACTTTAGAACGATAATGATTTGACTATTAACAAAATTTTCATCTAAATATATATTTGAAATCTTTTGAAAAAAATATTGAATATCTAAACTATTTTACAAAATAAAATTTGAAAAACATGAAGATCAATTATGTTAGAGCACGTTGTAATGACGAATATTTTGTGTGTATATAAACATGACTTCAGCTTGATTTTTTAAACTATAATTAAATTGGTGTATTAGTTAATTATAAATTTTTACATAGCATTATTTTTATTTTATTAGAAAGGACTTGTAAATTGTACTTTGACAGCAATTGAAAGAATGGGTAAACACAACAAAGGTAAAGGAGGGACTATTGTTAATGTAGCGTCGACTGCTGGTCTTTATCCTTTTCCAGCATTGCCAATTTATAATGCTACAAAGTTCGGCGTGTATGGTTTCACCCTATCTTTAAAGGTACATAACCATCGCTTGCCTTACAGTAATTAATGATTATTATTAAACACTTGAACACTGCAAAGAATTATTACAAAACATCTACTCATTACTACGGTAATAATTAATTGAAAAATCTACAGAACTTAATGTTTATTTATGAAATATACGATTTTTTAGGAGCATTACCAAAACACAGGTGTAAGAGTTGTAGGAATGTGTCCTGGTGTGACGCAAACCGACTTTTTACAAAGAAACTGGCGCGAAGAAAGCTTAAAATTTGTTGACGATAAATTCTTGGATGACTTACGCAACAGCTCTGGTGTTATACAGCCGTAAATATCTTATCTAATTTTAATTTCAATATGAATGTCAAAAATGTTTAATTTCTTATTTCATAGACCTGAAAACGTAGCTGAAGCAATTGTTAAAATGATAAAAGAAGCAGAACCTGGAGCAATTTGGTTATCCGAGGAAAATAAACCACCTTGTGCCATAAAAGAAGCACCACATTACCAGAGCAGAAAAATGCTATTGAAATAGGGTAGCTTGAAATTTACCCGTGAATAAATTAGATTTATAAATCTAAAATTAGGCAACAATTACTTTGAGTAGAAGTGGATAGCAAAACATATCTATGTTTCATTACATTTTAATTTGCAATGATGCTTTAATAAAAGTAAAATAGTTATCGAAGTAATACTAATAATATCAGATGAAATTATATTATATTAAATATAAATCTTATTAGTGTTGCATCTCATGTAATAAAATAAATTAAAGCTATTAAATAGTGCGTTCTTATTTTTGAAGTTATATTCGATTTTTAATTTTCAAGAGATAGGAATGGCTAGAATATAAACGATAATTATCAATAGAATATAACTACAATTATAAGTTTGTATAATTATACAAAAACCGAATTTTTCAACATAGATGTCTCATAAGTTTGTATTTAAAAATCATTGCGTTACCGAATGCCTTATAATTAACTCACAAGTTATTTTATTATTCTGATAATAATAAAATACGTATTAATCTATAGTTTAAGAACTGAAAGCAAAAGTCTATACTTGCCATTTACGTCCATGATTTGTATTCGATTACCGCAACAAAATCAACTATAGTAAATTTATTTAAGGTTTGGTTTCGCGTTCAGTTCATATTTTAATATTGACACTTAAATACTTAGGTAAAATGATATATCATATACATGTCTGCACTATGTCTACTTATTTAATCAAAATCAATAAATTGAACAAATCAATAAATCACATTTTTTAAATAATTTCGTCTGTGCTGGTACCACGTTATAATGAAATATTTTCTAATTTTCGTCGATAATCTGTATTGGCAGATACTTAAAAAATTATATCTGCGATATTCTGAATCTATTCTGCAAAGCAAAACAAGCACTTTACTATTTATAAGTAGTTTTGTGATATGCAATAGGCAAGTAAACAAACAGCACTTCTGCTTGTAATCTATCACTATTTGCGTAGTCAGTAAAAGACAACTTTTTAAAAATTAATGTGATAACCTGATACTTTATATATCTTGCTCAATATTATCAAAACCTTTTATTATCATGAAAAACTGTTAATAGATAGCGTTGAATCAATCAAAAAATATTGTTAAATAAAAATTTTCAAAATGGATGTAACAAATAAAGTTGCTATTGTAACTGGCGGAAGCGGTGAGATTGGATTTTCTATTGTACAAACTTTGTTAAAGAATGAAGCTAAAGTAAATAAGATTTTTTCGATCTATGTTGTCATGTTTGATGTCGAGATTACCAAAGTCGAACTTACTTATTGCTTTTGATATGCATATCAAATTTTAGATTCCTACGATGAAATAGCTACATTGCAAAAATATCTTGATCTACTAGTCAATAATGCAGGAATATTGAGTGATACTCATGGAAATTTGATGATCTATGTCAATGTAGTTACCCTGTAAATTGGCTGTAAATACTTCAAATTTATGTTAGTTTTGTACTACAGAGTTAAAATTAATGTAAAGAACACATTTTACTTAGTCCTAAACTCACACTGAAAAAAATCTTCTCGTAGAAAGAGGAGTCTTTTTAAAATAGTATGAAAATAATGTTGTTCTATTGTTACAAGAGGATCGGATCTGAGGACTAGCCTTAAAATCTCTATTCTTAGTGCATTGATTATGCGATTTTAAAGTATTGTTTTTATCTAAATACGATTATTACTTACTAACAAACAGTTGGGTTAGCTAAAATATAAAATTTCATTGAAAGGAAAAAAACTTGTTAAAGAATACAGATTATCATTTCAATATAAGAGGGAGTGATAAACTGTAATCTGGCTGCAATTGAACGAATGGATATAGATGATAAGTATAAAGGCGAAACTATTGTGAATGTAGCTTCGGTTGTTGGACGTTTTCTTTATCCAATTTTGTCAATTTAAAGTGCAATTAAGTTCACTGTTAACTGTTTCAATCGATGACTAATGGTGCCGAATAACTACTATTTACTTTATGATAACTATAAACATTGTATTGTTAATAAATTATTTAAATATATATGTCTGTGCGTGTGTGTGTGTGTGTATGTAAAATATGTTGAACTGAAAATAAAACTTATTTATTTGGATTATTCAACGAAATTCAATATGATGATTATTTATGGAACTTGAAAAATATATTTTGAATGATTTGAATCTTTAATGAGATACCCGGTTTTAAGAAATATAATTGACTTGTTGAAGTTGGAAATTATAAATATTGAAGACAAAAATTTCTAGTCAACGTATTTAAATTTTACATTCAGGCAAATACTGATATTTGAATTGTAGCAATTTACCCGAGCATAATACAAACGGAATTCTTGAAAAAAAAAACTAGATTGAAGGCAGCTTGAGATTTGTTTGAAATAAATTTTTAAAAGAATTATGCAATAGCTCTACATAGATATACAGCAAGGTTTTTTAGTCCATTGATAAAAGAATGTAGCTGAAGCGATTGTTAAAATGGTGAAACAGCAGAATCTTGAGCTATTTGGGTACATTTGATGAAAATAAACTACTTTATGCCGTTGACGATCCATCACATTATCAGGACAGAAAAATTCTATTAAAGCAAGATAGATTTTAAATATTAACATATTAATTAAAGAAAATAAGCAGATACTATGAATAAATACGGTATTATAAATGGAAGCTCATAAGTATCCGCTTATTTTGCAAATTGCAATGTAGCTGCTATGGTAGCTTGTATTCAGTTATTATAGTTGACATACGATAGGTACAGTTAGAAGACTAAATTCAGTTAACGAATAATAATGAATTATCAAAGAGAGTACTATGAGTAATACCATTGACATATGTTGATGAACATAAAATTAGGTGGAAAATATAATGAAGGCAAGAGTATATACTCGCCTTTCCGTGATTAATTTAAAGTCGTCGTATTGGGTCACGCGACGTGAAATAAATGAAAGTGAGATACTTTTATTTCGTACTACTTTAACGACATTTTAATCTTAGTAATAGTCTACTGTTAGCTCAAAAGCTTTATCCGCGCATATGCTTGCAGAAAATAAAATCTCATTATCGTGAGATGTACAATGAATAGGCAAATTGGACAGCTTCATCTTGATTTTATTTTAATTAACAAGTAATTATTGTGCTGCATAGTGTCTGACGCTGCTGTATCAGACGGAGTACAATTACAAAGACATGCAAGTAAAATAACATTCCATGAAGCGCCAAGCCAAGCTAAGGAATTCGCAAGTGGTCAACACGCTAAATCTTTCTCTGGTATTGAGGTCAGCTTTATTTTAGCTGTGAATTTTCTCACTTCCAAAACAGCTCTTTCCCTTATTCTTTGTTTTTCTCCGCATCTTCATCTCTGCTCTTGATTCTCAAAATACCTGGATTTACGCTTAACTTGACTTAATTTCACTTTCTATACGCCTCTCCACCTGCTGTTTTACTTTTCAAATAAGTTTCTAGTTTCTTTGTAAGAAGAACTACAGTCCAAGTATGTATATAGACGGCGCTCTCATCCAATTATCTGCGAACAAATGTGTACAATGAGTCTACTTATAAAATTCACAGAGCATTGAGAGTGGTAGTCACTTTTAATTAACGATACATGAAAGTTTCACATAAAAACTCACCTCAGCCATTTTTACGATTGCTATTCAATGTTATTCGCAGCAACGTTCTTCAGCCGTAGTACGAACTGCACTATAAATCTAGTTGTGACTTAAACTTCGAAACCTTGGAAGGATTTTCATATAAATTTTGAATAGAGCTGGAAATTTTGATTAAATATATAGAAAAATACGATAATAAAATGAATAGAAGCGGGAGAAGATGCAAAAGCTCATTAATGTGTTCTTCGCGACACGAAACGAAGTCATTTGAAATGCATTTGGCGGCCTGGAACACACGTGCTGGCTTACGTATAGAGTAACAGTAGCAAGGCGTTACGTATGCAATCGCGTTATATTATTATTCATACATGTATGCTTTTCGCTGGCTATGTCCTACTTTCGTCTGCTTCTGTGACTAATCGATGGCTTTCTGGTAATATAATAACCGGGCATTAGAAGTGTATTCACTTTTTGCGAGCTGCCGTTGCAAGTTTAGCCAGGGACATGCCAACTAAGTGCAGACACTGCAAAGCTTCACTTTCTCGGAAGTATTTCTTTGCAAAAGCTTTAGCCCATCTAACCGCCTTACGTTACTCAAAGGATCGTTACGAACAAAGTCAGCTTGCAAAGCATTAAATGATTATATATACTTTCGCTTACCATTTATATCTATTTATTGTCATTCATTCCGCCCAGTTAATCTTTCAATCGATGCGTGCTTTAGTGCGATGATTCTATTTCAGCAACGTCACCGGGATACGCGCAAATCATTTCTAGATTTCCAAATGAGTAAGCATATCCGTCTGTTAATGTTCAAAGTAGCAAGGGAAAGATAGTCTTTTAAATAATACACTAACTCATTTTTGCTCTAGCTTTTACGCCTATTGGAATATCGATTTCATTTCTTTGCGTAAATCAGTTTCAATCTTTCATTAGTCGCCAGCAACTTGTTCGTAAGCGCTCGAGCAAAAATACCAATGGTATCGTCGCTAAATTTACTTTTTCCAGCAATTTCTCATTCACAAACTGCTTTATAGAATAGGGAATTACATTTTCATAACGTTTGTATTGCGCTCATTTTTCGCATTCGTGCGGAGGAACTCTACTCGAAATTCAATTATGGAGCAATCAATATTCGAATAATAAATGTAAAACTTATGTAAATTTGATTTGAGTTTCGTAATGACAATATGATGGATCGAGCGACGTACATACATGTTTGACAAAAACATTGGAAGGGGGCTCAAAGTAACATATCTGGTCTTAAATAATACCGTGTTGAATACTGCTTACTATTATTTTATGAAAATATCGCAAAATACTTAAGGAATCGAGCTCTTACGTGAAAGCTATAATACATCACGCGTACGTTCGCCAACGGTGACAGTGTGACCGAGCGTTGACGTTGCGTGAACGAGGGTTCGCATTACTATACATATAGGCAGATACTTTTACCGTTTCCTTCGTCGTTTTCTTTTATCTTTCTCTTTATAAACTCTGATTGTTGTTGTATGATCATTCATGAAATCATTGATGGAGTGTTGCGTTTGGGGTATAAGGATATCCTTGCCTTTTTTTATTTTTTCGAGAGACAGAGAGCTGTGAAATATGGATTTTAGAGACGTGAAACAGCATAAAACCAATTTCTTTGTTAGAACACTGTTTACATAGAATTCAATTAATAATACACTTACTCTTGCTTATTGCCTATTGACATTTGCCGAATTCGTACAAAGCTCAATAAAAGCGTTTAATAATCTAAGAAGCAAAGAAGGAATGACGCATAATGATAACTAAAAACTAGGTAAGTACTTGCGATATTTGTTGTTCGGCTAATCTACACTATGTCGACTAATTGTCTTTTTCTAAGTATCTTCAAACCATGTAAAAACGTATGCATGCGCTCAATTTCGATCGGTCTTTCAAGTCGAAAAGACTGACGTCAATACATTTAGTGTATTATTGATTTTAGAATTTTTTTACATATCTTTCATCTATACAAAGACTTACAATAATATATCAATTCTGAACAATCTATAGCTAACAAAAGCTTTAGAAGGTCGATATTAGTAAAGCAGTAGAAAGAATCTCAGTCGCATGGTCAGTTTTTTACATGACCCCGTTTTTGTTCATTTCTTAATGCAACCTGTCATCTTCATAAATCCCATAGAAATATAGAATATAGCAAAAAATACAACAAATAGAACAAATACATTACTATTTGCACTTGCACAAGAAAGCACATAAATTGCAAAGTACATATTCTAATACGTGGCGCAACAGAACACGGCGATAAGGTAGTACCCGAGTAGAAGATTGTCCACTGATGTACTGAATACCATTTTTAGCATACATGTGAGCTAAAACTGTAGCTTTTTTAATTTTTTGAACTCTGAATTTTTTTCTTTTTTATCAAATTAAGTATCGAAAAGTACAATAAGTAATTAAATAGTAATTTAATTACTTGTTGTAGAAGTTTAGTAATATATTTCAGAAGTGTTTGTTCACACAACTAAACAAATTTTCAAAAGGAGCGATATTTACATCGATTGCATTTGTTTAACGACTTTCAATATTCCAGACTATTCATGCGTAATAATTTGAAGTTCATCGATATTGATTGCGACAATGATGAATGGTTAATTGAGAGCACTCTTGTTTTGCTATTTGTCATCAAATATGTAACTATGATTGTTAACAAGTTTTACTGATACATACTGCTGACACATAATGTTTATCGTCGATTATATTCACAAATAAATCAGACATACTCACCACAATAAAATAGGTAACTCTTCGTAGTATGAACTGATTCGGAATTTCCAAGGGTTTTAAAACCAATTTTGTTTTTAAATCGACCTATAAATAAGTTTTCTAGCATTTTAAAGTTTCGACAAAAAACTTATTTTACGATGTTCACAAAGAAAGTAGTAAATTGGCTTCAAAAACTGCGCGGACACCACTGCAAGATTTATTATCACTTAAAATTTATAGTACAAAGCACATTTATCTGTAAAAAAAATTAATTGTTTGATTTTCTTTTTTAATATAAAAAAAAAGAAACTAAAAGATGTTGTAAAATACAGCAACAGAATAAAATGGATCGGTGTAAATATAGACTTTCCATTAACAGAATGCATAAAAATGTCAATTCATTGCTTTTTTTTTTGAGAATTCAATTCGATAACAAACCAGAAAGTTGCATATCCGTAACACACATGGCTTTGACCTATATACATTGACTCATTGACCCCAAAACCATTCAGAGAGACTGGAAGTACTGAAAAAAATTTTCACGGCCAAATGATTTCACAAGAGCTACATCGAAATACGAAAACAAAATATACGAGGCGAGACAAAGTTATGAATCAGTGACAAGCCCAAAAGCTGCATCAGACAATACTGCAACGCTTTGTGTCAACGTCTTGTCCACACTATACGTTGAGTCGTTGCAAAATATACGGGAGTATGCCCAACAAGCAATCTCGGCAGTAGCATTAGCAGTAGCAGGCGTGCCCACGAAAATAAACGCAAAATTGGGAGCGTTTGGCACGGACATCTCAAAAAAAACCAAAACTACGGAGAGAAGCGCGCCCGAGCGTCCGACGGCCGAAGAAAAAGAACAAGGCGACGAAAAAGAAAGCAAGCCCTTGAACGAAGATAGAGAGAGAGAGAGAGAGAGAGAGAGAGAGAGAGCAAGAGAGAGAGAGAGCAAGAGAGAGAGAGAGAGAGAGAGAAGGCGTCGCGACGCGCCGTTCGACGACGACGTCGACGCGCGCGTAGCACGGCATAGCCGGCAGTGCGAAGGGAATCAGTGGTGCGCGAGCTTTTGAGGAGCGAGGACGTTAGCCGGGCAACGTCTACCTTTCAAACTACACGTAACTCGCGAGCTTGCGAGTGTTTCGTGAGCCTCTCCTCTTATTTTCCGCTTTTTCTTTCTTTTTTGCCGAACATTGCCTCTCCTGCAGGCGACAGAGTGTACGCCGAAGAAAAGTTTTTCATGCAAGAACTTTCCACGTTTGTTTGGTTGCTTTTTCGAAGCTGGCATGAACTTGTGATTGCGCTTTCTTTTGCTGTACTCTCCGCACAACTTCTGCTCTGGCCAGGAAGTCGTAGACAGCTTTCCGGTAGAGTTAACGCGCCGTCGAGAGGCAAATTGGCGCAAGCTGAGGTGAGCTTTTTAGATAACATTTCAGCTTTATTTTCAATGCTATAACACTTTATTACATCCGAAAACTTTTTCTACTCGTATTTGTCATTTTCATATATTCTTTTCTCTCGTACATGCAACAAGTCATAATTAAACTTTGACCTCATAAAGTGCATTCAATTACAGGGTGTGTGCGTACAATTTATTTTAAGTCATGGCACTATTCCGATTTTAGTTTCTGCAGAATAACCATAGATTCATTTTCATGACATTATACGTTATTACAAAACTCACTTGACAGTTGGTATGGGTAGACTCGTTTTAGATAGGCTGGATAAAATTCACTGAATATTATTCCGTTCTCATTTTTTTATTTTGCAGAGATATAATTTCAAATTTAATATTGTGGAAGACAGAATTTTATTATAAAATTTCAATTTTTCCTGCACAAACATGATCTAGATGATGAAATGTAAAAGCGAACCGTTAGATGTTGTATACAAAACTATTTTAATCGATTTGATTTCATTAATTCACTGCAGTAATTAATAAATGTCATATTTCACAATACATTAAGTAAAAGCTTTAAAATCTTTACAATAAAGTGTCGAAGTTTTCTTAAGGTTTGATAATTAAAAAACTTTGTAAACTGGTTTCGAAGTTTTTATTTAAATTGTTCTTTTATAAGCGAGACATTATTTCATCTTATATTGTCATTTATATTTTCACGTTATCGTTACTATTATATCAAGAACTAAGTAAATTGATTTTTCGAGTGGTGTACTCAAAAATATGTTTTTACTTTTATTACTTAACTATTATTTCCACTTTTACATTATCGAATTTTATTAAATATAATTTTAAAATCTGCATAAATTTTATATGACTGAAAATACGTTAAAATTAAAAGGCTTGTAATGAATAGAAATTACAATGATATCTTTTTTTTTAATCTTGTTAACTAACATTTTATTTTATTACACATTTTATTACACATGAAGTTACATATATATATATATATATATATATATATATATATAATATTTTATAGATATAAAAATTTCTTTATAAAAAATGTATCATGTACTGTGTGGTATACTGCATTAAATTCATAATACTTCAATTAAAAGCGCTGGTTGAAAAATCATTTCAATAGATATATACGTTTCATAATTGATAGTTCAAATAGTGGCTTTATATATGTTGCTTTTGATGTAAATATTCATTAATGTTTTATCATACGTGAAAAAATGATGACGTCAAGAATTTCCTTCATATTTTTGTGGATTTAATAATTTAGAGTATATAAGCGTGTTGTTCGCATTCTTTTTTTGGTTATCGGTGTATTTTTCGTGGAATTTCTATAATTTCCGTTATATTGAAAATTGCCACATGCTTGCAAAGCTAGCAAGGCAAAACGATTGTGTATGACACAAGAAAAGGCCAGAGACAGGAGGAGAGAGAGAGAGAGAGAAAACAGGGAGGAAAGTAAAAAATACTGTACGGAGAAGCTGTTGCCGAAAGGTAATCTTTAAATAAATTGCGAATATTGCCAGTATATACACATGGGTGAGCTTTGACTGGTAAAAGACTTTTCCATGTTAAAGTGCTTTTTCAGCTGTTTTATTAAGCATGAAATTCGGGCAGTTTTATCCATTGACTACAGTCTGTAGAGTTTACCCATTTCCTATAATTTAATTCCACGATGATTTAAAATCTTTTGACTTCATTGAAATATTCTTTTTCATTGTGCTGCTTCATCATTCAACGTTTGTTTTGAACACTGAAGAGGCTTATTAAATATCATATTTTAATTGAAAACTAATTCGGTCAAGCTATTGAATACTTAATATTTTTAGGACGAATAATTTTCCGTCGCATAGTGTGCTTTGTAATAAATATCTGGAAATCATTTAGAATTCTACTTTGCCATTGATTATTCTAAATTCAAATTCGAATAAATGATATTTATTTGTGTATTTTCAAGAAAATTAAGCAAATTAAGCACGATATTTTCGATAAAAATGTTAATTAACAAATTTCAGCACACTCGCCTCATTAATTTTGGATTCTATTAAAGGAACTTGGGCCACTATTTTTATACATTTTATAAATACAACAACAGAGTAAACTTATCAATAATTTGACAATCAAACGAAACTCATTTATACCGTAAAAAGCCATATGACGGTATGACGCCCTGGATTTATATTTGACTCCTTGTAGAATGGCTTAGAATGTTATCTCTGATAGGAGATAAGGCTGCAGTAAAGTTGTGAAAAGCTTTCAAGCTCATAAAAAAGCTGTACGTGCAGAGAAAAGTAAAAAAACTTATCCATCTAATAAGCTAAGTTAAAAAATATCGATCGAAATTCGTGTAGGACGAACAACGATGAAACTGACTAGTAATAAAAAATCTCAGCCAATGTATAAGCCATTCATCTATTTTTTGCAAATAGTGATTGAAGTAAAAAATGCGTGCCGTTCAAAGAATCCGTAGAGAGCTCAGTTAGAATTGGGTTGTCAAGCTTGCTGCACGGCCCCTGGCTTCAAAAAGTCGATTGTGCTGGGGATTTGGCGATTTGGCGCTTGCACAGAGGCAAACTTTACATGCGAACGTCTAATGCAGCATAAAATACTCACCTAGTCACATATAAATAAATTCTAGGCAACACAGGCCTATAGGTGAATTCTTAATGTCTGGCAAGTGTCCGCAACGCACAAGAGAGCTTGCACGCTTGTCGCTCATCGTTATGCTCGTGCATTAGTATTTTTATTCCATCGTGGTTTGGTGAAAGCTGGCCGCTTACCTGTATCTTGCCTCGACTTCCGCTTCCTTGCGCTCTCCAGGGATAAACATTTTAAGACGGATCATGCGTAAAGCATTCATGATTAATAGGCTTGAGCTTCTTGCATGAATAAATCATCAAACGAACGATGGAAGCATTTTTTAATTGTAAGCATTTTTTATCGAAGCAGCAACTCCTATGCATGATAAGATGATTACTGCCAATTGCCTATGCAATTAACAAGTCTTTTGGTCTCTTGATCAGTGGTGTCTATTCAGAAGGTAAAAATGATCAACGAAAACTTTTCTTCTTTGATGCTAATAAGGAAAAGTCGCCGTTAAAAATCAATATTTTTAAATAAAAATATGAACTTGGTTTGATATAACTGTTGGTTTATAGGTCAATGGTTAATGAAAATAAATGCAATCAATACGTTTCATCTTTTTCACTAACATCCCTAGGCACACATGCACGCAAGCGGACATGCACTATTCAAATGGAACAGGCAGTCAGTCGTTTGTTTTGATAAAATTGCATCCATTTCTATACGGACACAGTACACCTCTATATAAATAAACAAAGTGAACGATCGAAGGATAAAATGGTATTTCATATAAATCACCGACTCTCATCATTCAAACTTAATTCCAAATACAAAGTACAGTATGGATTTCTCGAAAATTTAATAATAGCAGGTTCATTTTGAAGTTTTTCTTACAAGACATGTAACGTGCCTATAAAAAACTAATAGCATATTAGAGTAGATTACGGTTGTTGCTACGTCGGAAATATCTGTCCATGCATAAGAAAACTTTCGAGCGTTTTATCTTTGTATCTGGCACGCGGCTGAGAAAATATTTCACGCTATCGGATCAATTTCTCGTGTAAAAATGGTACGACGAGAGAAAGAAAAGAAAATTAGTTGCTGGAAAGGAAAGGAAACAGAGGTAGTACTGAAATAATAAAACAGAAAGTACCGTACTTGTAGTTTGGTAAAGTGGAGCAAGAAACGAGAAAATTGGAAGAAGAAAGAAAGAGAGAAAAGGAGATGTATATAAGAAGACCGGAAAGCTCGATCTACATACGTAGATGGTCGATCGGCCGGTGAAGCAGATGAAAGAGAGAGAGGGGAAAGTGTTGAGAGGGATATGAGCCTTAGTATCCGTAAGTAAAAGAGTGCTGACACGCCGCAGATGCCAATATCGCGGCATCGAAAATTCCAAAGACGTTTTCGCTCCGCCTGCTCGACACACACGAGCTTACACTACGAGCGAGGCTTGCTTGGCGCTCGGTCGAGGTCTATTCCCCCTTGGACTCGGTCGCGGCCGTTTCTCTGCTACTGCCAGAATACACACACACACACACATATAAGCGCGCGCACACACTATAACCTCGCTTATAGTGCGGCAACCCAAGCTATTCGGACATTGCACTCGCTAGCCCTGCTCCGAAAACGTCGATCTTAAATTGCGATTTTCCTTGCGGACTCGTCACTGGCACAGCTCACCTTTACACTTCACTCTAAACCACAAACTTTTAGCATACTTCCCACCAGCACCAGTCTTCCTCCTCTTACAACTTTTAATTTATAAGGCTACTCACACCGATTGCCCTAAAAAATCTTCCACTTTTCCATGACCCGCGCGCGCGGCGTTAGTTCACCACGGCACTTCATTACCGTGTGAGCAATTTGTTCACCTCGCGGGCCTTCGCATTTATTTATTTGCTCGTCTTTCTTTTTCTTTTTTTTTTCAAACCACGCGCCTATAAAACAAATTGAATAACGATCGACGTTGCTGCTTCCAAACCACTAGCACCGAGGCATACATATTTCAGGTAACAGTTTGCATTTTTGCTTCACTTATTCCCTCAGAGCTTATTCATTCGCCGAGAAGAATACTTTGGCTGTATTAATTCTCTGATGAGTTTGCTTTTGATAAGAATTTGAATAGCCATTGCAGATTACGTGTTAAAAAAAGAAAAAAAAATAATAAGTGGTAGTGTTTAAATTTCGCGAGCGTAATACCGCGTGCAATATGGCTTCGAAGCCATATCGAATATAGCAGTACGAGATTTTCCAAGATTCGAGTTGTCAGAATTGAACTAAAGTGTTCGCTGAAAACTTATCGTTATTTATGAACCTCCTGCTCACGGCGGCTTTTGCCTATAGTACGTGGAAACAATTCGAAAGCAGTTGTTGCAGCGCGTCTCGATAACAACAGCAGCGAAAAT